TATACTTTTAAATTCGTGTACAAATTTTAATTATACTAAGTGATATTTTTTCTTCTTTCAACTGCATATTACTTCCTCCTCAGCTTTTTTAATACAAATAGTTAACTTTAATCTATTATAGTTTTGTGTGTCCTGAAAATGCGCGCGTACCTTACTGTCTAAATGTGCGTGCATACGCACTTCATTTCAACGGATGTTAACGAAAGGCGGATTTAGATACACTTTAGTATACATTTTGTACTACGACATGTTAAAAATTTATCGAAGTTTTTAGAAAGGTCTAACGTTAGGTCTTGGAGTAACATTATAAGTTTAGTTATTGATACTATTAAGTGCGGTAAAGTTTAGGCGTAACTAAACAAAAGCAAAAAAAAAACAAAAAAACGTATACGAGTTAAAGAGTTAATTTATCTATTTATCGAATGTAAACCGTACTTAATAAAGGCTTAACTAATGTTATGCCTAAGACAAGTGGACTTGTAGATTATGGTTACAATTATTCTAAAGTCCTGAATTTAAAGAAATACTGTTGCAATAAAAGGACCAATGTACTCCCATTGTTCCGCTTTGAAATCGCGCTTTAGCAGACTAGTCGCACACAACACTCTTAACTTTGGCAAACCAAATCATCTGTTTACATAACAGTACGTTGACATACAAGTCACATACACACGTATATCACCCTTTAATTGGGCACACCATTCACGTGCATACAAGCGTGGCATGGCCTGGTGGTTAGGGCGTTCGACTCGTAATATTTGGCTTGTGAGATCGAAACCTCGCGCCGAATATGATAGTCCATTTCAGTCGTGGCAGCATTATAGTGTTACGGTTGATTCCACTATCCATTGAATAGCATAAAAATTAATGGTGGGTGCTGGCGATCGGTTGCGTTATCTGTAATCGGAAGTTGAAAATTAGGGACAGCAGCAGATAACTTTAGAAGCTTTACTATGAAAAACACGTGCACATATAACGCTAGCGTTGAAAGAGGAGTTAACCACACATCATTCATTGTTGGGTAAACCATTCACTTGCATACAAAACACTAGCGTTGATACAAAGCTGCTTCAAATTGGCAGACACACTCGTAGATCAGATATATATAAAGTGGTGAAGGACAGAGTAATAGATGGTAACGTGTACATTCATAAGAAGACGTGCGTGCGTGTACGGGGTGTCCCAGAAGTCTGAACCCATACGGAAAATATTCAATCTATCCTTTATTTATTTTTCAAATTGCATGCCATTGACAGCCATACACATATCAATTTTTGGTATACTGTACTATCAGGGTATTTTCTTTCCTGAAATATGTACAACTGACTTTAGAAATGTGTTTGTTTAACTCTAGGAATATAATGTATATTTTCCCTATGGGTCCAGACTTCTGGGACACCCTGTGTGTTTGTGTGTGTGCATATATATATATATATATATGAATGAACAAAACATGGATGTTTTGTTCATTTAAATGTCATTTATCACAGGTTTGGATTTGCTGTTTTTAACGCGGTTCTTTCTTTTGATTTTATTTTGCTTGACTGTTTAAGTGTTGGTTTTCTATACGTACGTACGTACTTACATACAAGAGAGAGAGAGTGTGTATTACAGAAAGCTGTTTAGTTTAGGTAGTTGTATACATACATATATATGTGTGTGTGTGTGTATATACACAAACAATATTGACCAGTATGCGACATGAAATATCTTCTTGACAAACAGTAACACCTAACGATAACTACAGTTCCGAGCACTATTCTAAATCGTTTCTTGTAAGACGTTTAATTTTTATTATTTACAAACAAAACACATTCTGGGTGGCTTTCCAAACAAAGTTTCGATGTATTTATTTGATGTATCCGTTAACCCTACAATCACCAATTAGGTGCTTATGGCTTCTTATACACGTTTTGCTAAACTAGTTATTTACCAAATTGCTTGTGAATTCATGACTTTGTTAGTTCCAGGATTCCTAATAATACACTAGTCACACAAAAAGTTTAAAAAAATATAAATTAAACGGAATAATTATCATTGGAGGTCTCTTACTTATTTTACATAGAAAATAACTAATGTTGTTGATTTTTTTGAGTCACTTTAGTGAGTGTTGTAATAGACTAAATTAACAAAACGTTACTCAGTATGGTGTATCAGGTGTGTGTCTCCCAACCCACTTTTAGTGAACACTATAGAATGAAGTGGGAAATACGAAGGTTAACCTGTATTATGTATTCGTTGATCCTGGTGTTGTACATGTGAAATAGGTAAAACTTTGCATAGTCCTTGATAAATAAATAATAAAAAACACACGTTGACTTTCCAACATTTCCGGTAAAGTTTTCAGTGTTAATATTTTTGGTTAACTCTGGTTAATTCTCTTCGACAGCAGTCTGCAGAAACAACACTTAGTATAAATACTCGTTTTGCTGAAAACCTCAGTTGAAATTGTTGAAATATCAGTATCCCCTTGTGATGTTTTGTCGTAAACGTTATTCTCAAAGGCGTGGCATAATTGTAAGAGCGGAGAATCAACAGTAAACTTTCTGTGTGTAACAGTTATTTTTATATTCGTATGTACATCACGTTTCTTTGTAATGAAGACGTATATTTTTGTGAACATGAGTTTCGTGTTGAAGATCTCGTATTTCGGCGATTGGTTTGTGGATTGCATGTGTAAAAGCTGTATTTTTTCACACAACGATTTTCATATATGGGATGGACCGTAGGTGTGTGTGTGTCTGTGTGAAATTAGTTTACTCAATTTTATCTTTCACAGCATAATTTTCGTTTGAAAGTTCATTGATCTGGGATAAGACAACTGTGATGCAACTTTCGTATTTTATGTTCAAGTGTAAGATTTATACGTTATTTAAGCAGTATAGCCCAGTGTAAGACCACGTGTTGTGTCTGTCCTTCTCTTGGATGCTCACTAGCCCAGTGTAAGACCACGTGTTGTGTCTGTCCTTCTCTTGGATGCTCACTAGCCCAGTGTAAGACCACGTGTTGTATCTGTCCTTCTCTTGGATGCTCACTAGCCCAGTGTAAGACCATGTGTTGTGTCTGTCCTTCTCTTGGATGCTCACTAGCCCAGTGTAAAACCACGTGTTGTGTCTGTCCTTCTCTTGGATGCTCACTACGCCCAGGCTAAGGCGTATTGTTACGTCTATCCTCCTCTTGAATACTCACTAGCCCAGTGTAAGACATCGTGTTACGTCTATCCTCCTCTTGAATGCTCACTAGCCCAGTGTAAGACCATGTGTTGTGTCTGTCCTTCTCTTGAATGCTCACTAGCCCAGTGTAAGACACCGTGTTACGTCTGTCCATCTCTTTGGATGCTCCACGCGCCCAATATAAGACCCTGTGTTATGTCTGCCCTTCTCTTGAATGCGTACCTGTCCATAAATAGTTCAAACCCAATGTTCATTTTGGCCTATCCTTCCTTTTAACGATATCTCGCCTAATATATGAACTGGTTTTGTGTATATTTATCTCTTGAGTGTTCATTCACCGTGTCAAAGCGTCTGGTGTGTTCTTTATAGCTTACTGTTAGTGCAATATTTCGCATTGTATGACATGTTCATATTCATTGGATTATGACAACAGTAAACGAAAGTAACTTTACACAGAATTGCGAGTGTAATCACGTTACGAGGTTGTAGTTAAATACAATTCTTCAAAGAGTAATACTATCGGAAACGAAATCTGTTGTCAAAAGAAATCTTTTGGTTTTTAAATTTTGTTACCTTTGATCTCTGAGGTAAAAGTCAGATAAAATTGCCATTTATTGCATCTTTGTAATTAATCGCTGAAACTAATATATTGCTGTCTTACTTTGTTTTAATTACTAACGTATGCAAGTACTGCCTTACTTTGTTTTAATTACTAACGTATACAAGTACTGCCTTACTTTGTTTTAATTACTAACATATACAAGTACTGCCTTACTTTGTTTTAATTACTAACGTA